TTGCTTTTGATCTTAATATTGTTTCTGTCTGTTATGTTTGGTATGTATATATGTTTTTGTAATCCTTGTCTTGAAGGAACCCATTTTGATTCCATTCCCATATTTGGTTTATGATTAAATGCTGTTGCCAGCGATGAGGATATAATTCCTGGGAAAAGAAGTGTGATAGATGGCTCTCATTCATTAAGGAAAAAATAAAAAGATGTCTTTGGTCAATATAGACTCTATATATGGATATACTGCATAGATCTTGTTTTGAGATGATTTTGCATGGCCTAGGACTGATCAACACAGCTGGTCACACTAATGAACTTTTCTAAATCTAACTAATTTTCTAAATCTAGTTTAAAACATCACCAGAGAGCTGATGGCACTCCTTTTGTTCTGGAATTATTGCTTCTTCAGTACAGGGTTGCCTTGAAGGCTAGCACTTGTGGTCACAGGAAGCCTTGTAAATAACTTGTTCGAATGTGTTCTGGTATTGCTAGCAAACTGCTATAAGACATTTTGGGGTTGCTTTAAAAAAGAAGAAAACCACATGAGAATCATGTGATGTTACATTTACATTTACTTGCCTTCTGGATTTCGGAAATTAATGTTTTCAACTTTCTCTCTGCAACCAAGAGAACAAAAAGCATGTAGAGAAAAAAAAAAATCAAAACTGAGTCTCATGTAGTCACAAGAGTTTAGAATATGGGGGTTTAAGATAAGCATTGAAATATCAGTGGCTTATGGATACATTTATAGAAGTTGGTAGCTCTGTTAGCATGGCTTTGATTTCCTGTTGTCCTAGTGTAGTTTTTAGGTGTTCGATCAGTGCAAATAACTAATATAATAAGCTCATTTTGGGTGATTATTTCTTGACATAGTTATTGTCTTTGAAAATAAGCTGTCTTGAAGCGCAGAGTTCATTGCAGAAAGTCACTGTGAGGTTTTATGGCTCAGAATCTTTAGTGGAGGATGTAGAAAGCTGTCCCTGAAATTCCCTGTGCACAGTACAGCGACTGGGGTTTCAGCTGACTTTGATGGTGCTGTGTGACAGCAGAGGGTGCTAGTGCCATCCCCGAGGAGCGCAGAAGGGTTCTCCGTTCTAGAAAGCAGTTTTCAGTATGTATTTATATGCACGCTATTACAGTACGGAGACTGGAGGCTTTCATTAATGCAGAGAATTATGCATTATTCCATTGACGCAGAGAGGTCTGAAAGAGAGGTGTATTTCTATTTGTGATTTGATGGAGGGTTTGGGAGCTATAAAGTATGGAAAAAACTCCTTCCTTTGTTGTTACAAGATACGTGAACGTGTCCAAAAAGAGCATTGCAGTTTGGCATTTTAACTCTGCTGCTTAGAACAACTGCTACCTGGCTACAGGTTGATCTTCATCCCAGCCAGATGTAGAATCTGATGATTTTACAGAAGAGATTAGAGAGACAAACAGCACCTAGCTGTAGATTACAGAGATTCCTTTTGCTGTAATAGTGAACTGTAAAGACTTGGGCTAAAAGAGAATCTGTTATGTTATTATCCAGTTGGGAATCTGCTTGTAATTAAGTGGGTTTGTGGACAAGAGGCAACGAGTCAGTTTAAATGAGGGAAAAATACTCCAAAATTTCCAAAGCTACACACTTCTGCTTCAGCACAACTCTGACAACACTTTTATTACGAGAATCTTGTGTACGCATTTCCTTAAATAGACCCAAAGAATAATTCTAAAATTCAGATATAACTGAGGAGCCAATACTCATTTCAATTACCATACTTAGAAGGAAAGTCTTACAATAGTGAGGAAAGACTAACCATATTGAAAACACTGAATACTAGCCCTTTTCATGTTAGGAGGTTTGGATAGAGAGGGCCCCCCTAACCACTGTTATATTATGTCTTTTTAAGTGCTGTAGTCTAAAATAAATGCAATTTGTTTTGATGTATTACAGTAGAAGTTCTCAGCTTAGAAAAGCTGCAATTCCTGAGTTTGTGCCACCTGCTCTGTTAAGTGCTTTTGAGATCAATACAGGAAAGATACTAGCCTTTGTCCTTTAGAACTGCTACTGGAAGGTGATACATCTGAAGGATACTGGTGATAACAGATGTGATCAGCAGCCTAATAAATAAGGCAAACATCTCTGCTTTTTCCTCTAGTGTGTGTTAGCCTACCTATGTTTTTGTTAGAGATTTATCCTGGTTGTAAGATTTGACAAACTTGTCTCATCAACCATCCCCAAAATGTTAGTAATGATGACGTGGAACCTCTCATATTTGGGGAATCTGAGCATCTGTTTAGGATTCTGACCTTGATTTCTTGCTTGCTGTAGTTGTTGCATTCTGTCTCTTCTATGTTGTCAGGAATTATTGCACCCAAAGCATCAATATTTGTTACAGGCTATTGTCATTACTGTCTGGGTTAGTTCTTGGTGCAGAGGTCCGAAACCTCTGTTTTTCATTGAAAATGTTTTTTAATGTTTTTTATGGAAGTAGGCAGGTGAAATAAACTGTAAATTCTGAACTTGGAACACAAAACCATGCATCTGCCCAGAACAAAAAGGTTGCTCAGGTATTTCCAGCTGGATGGATGAAGGGCCATGGCTGGATGAAGGTGAATGACTAGAGAGGAATGACAGTTCAAGTTGAGAAACAAAAGACTTGGAGTGGGAAGCTACAATTCAAATTACTCTTTCATAGTGGGATGTGTCTAAGCCCAAGAAAGGTATTGAAAGGGGCCTTCAAGTAGTGAAGCTCTTCATGCATCTCTTCTCTCTGCACATGAGGAAGCAGAACTCTGTATGCTCTTGTAAATGAATGGAAATACATCAGAGATGCCCACTGCCATCCACAGCTTTTTTTTTTTTTTTTTTTTTTTTTTTTTCCCTTTCATTTGATGCAGTCCACACATTTCCACTTTATTTGGTCCAGGAGAGGTAATGCTTTGTTACCAGACCTCATTCCTTATTCTGAACCACATTAAGCAGGTGAGCACCTGGACTGCACTGCACATCAGAGCATGTTGTGACCTGCTGGTCAAGCCCACAGCAGTGCAGCACTTTAAGTGGAAGTGCTGTATGATCTGTGTGTTAAAAATGTAGCTTCTGAGAAGTGAGATGAGCCAAAGTTTAGCAGCTTCCCCTCACTTCAGGGGCAGATTATTGGCTATGGAAAATGTGAGATGCTATTATTATTCTTATTGTGCTA